TCTCACCAGACTGGAGCCTCCGAGCCCAAGATCAAGGTGTCAGCGGGGTTAAGTTTCTCATGGAGCTGGTCTTCTGTGCCCCCGCCCTCTTCTTTAAGGACACCAGTCACACTGGGCGAGGGCCCACCCTAACGGCCTCATTTTATCTGAGTCACCTCTGCAAAGACGCCCTCTGCCGATACAGCCCCATTCTGAGGTACTGGGGATCAGCACTTCACCATCCGAATCCTGGGGGCGGTGACCATGCAGCCCATGGCCGCTTTGGAGCGTAAGGTTTTCCTTTTTCATGTACTTTGACGGATTTCTTGCAGGTTTAACGGAAGTATTGTGAATTTAAAAACCACGACAGGCCTGTGTCATGTGCACGTGGAACCTAAGTGATGTGCAAGAGTGTGTCTGACTATAAACTGTATCCGTTGCATTAGGATTTACTGGAAAACTTTGGGAGCACTTGGCCCTGGGTGGCCGCTTCTGGTAAGAAAAAGGGACACTCGAGCCCAGACGCCCAGGGAAGCTGGATTCACACCACCACTCGTCCTCCTCAACGGGTGTGTGCACAGCATGCTGTTAACAGACACACCGAAGGATGGGTCAGCTTTTCACTTGTGCAGCTCAAAACGCTGCTTCCCCACAGAACGGTTTCTCCAGCCTGATCCCCAGGCCACCAGCATCTGAGGCACCTACGTGTTGTTCGTGAACACAGGGGTCCAGGGTGCCTGGGTGGCTCCCTCAGTCTGACTTCGGCTCGGGTCATGATCTCGTGGTTCGTGGGTTCGAGTCCCGCATCAGGCTGTGTGCTGACAGTGCAGAGCCTGTTTTGGATTCTGTGTCTCTCTCTCTCTCTCTACACTTCCCCACTTACGCTCTAAAATAAAATAAACATTAAAAAAAAAAAAAAATGAGCGTACAGGTCTGCGTCCCACCCGGAACCTGCGAATCCAGCCCTGGCCGGAACCTGAGCTCTAACAAGCACCCAAGGGGCCCACCCGAGTCTGCGGGTCTCTGTGCTGCCGTGGACGCACCCACCCTTCACCACAAGAAAGGTCACACTGTCCAAGCTGCAAAACCGAGCACACCTTTATTTCACACCCACTGCAACCCAGCCAAGGCAGAGGAGAACCCTGTGTCACAGTCCCGATTCAAGATCCTCTTTTGTCCATTTGGTAGCTGCCTGAAAACCCGGCACATTTAAATGAAAATCACATAAAAGACCCCTAGAGAAACTGACCCATCTTCCCCAAACAACAGACTTCCTCGTTAGTAAAATCAGCAGGTGCCGATGGAAGCACAATACAAACTTGACCATGGTGTCTGTTCGCACGGAAGACTATACTTAAATGCTTTCAGGTCTAAAAACCCAACTGTGAATGTCCAAGAGCCCGATTTTAATTTGACTGTTATCAGCCACCAAGAACTCGAACAGGAAAGCAAGGGCACTGTGGAAATTACTCTTCCTGGAAATTCAGCCCCACAACCCTGGTGACAAGGGTCCAGGACACAGGAGAGACAGCAGTGCTGATCCGAGGGCCCCTCTGACGTGGAGAAATGCACCTGCTGAGTCTCTCCTGAGTCCATCCCATGGCTTCACGGTAACTTGGTCCTCCGGTCTCAAGCGACTATTCGGTTGTAATCTTTACAGTTCCAAGAATCGATTTTGGCTGAACCCAAGGGTAACATAATACCTATTTGTACTGCACCCATAATGTCCACAATACAGATGTTCTTGCGGTACGAAGGCCATTCTGTCGGTTGCATATGTATATACACAGATAGATGTTGGCTCCTGTGGGAGACAAAGCTTTTCTCCTCTTTGGCAAGAGAACATCCACCCGGCGCCACCGCTCTGGCTAGCTCTTTTTCCTACGTTCCCTCATGTGCGCAGCAATGGAACCAGCTATTTCTGCATTCTTCTTGTTCTGGCCAAAATAATCTAGAAACTGGCCATCTGGTCCAATCAAGTACATTATTATTGTATGATCCACCTGCAGAGAAAAAGGTGGGGGAGGGAAAGGACAAAAAGATTACCAAAATAAGTCGCTTATTTTTCTGATTAAATGCTGCAGATGAGAACTTCGCATTAATGATTAAATAACCTCTGTAACATGTATCGTTTACAGAATGCGTCTAAGCCTATTTTCATAAATTCACGGTGACAAATATCTAAAATCGTTTGCATTCCAGCACTCTGCACTGACTACTGCCTTAGACATCAGCTAGAATTTGGGATTCTTCTGGTTCTGTCCATAACACACGCATGCACTCGATCTCGAAGAATCGACTTCCAAGAAATGGCTGCTGCTTTCGGAAGAAACGGGTACCTCATTGCTCCCAAATGCTGCCTACCACACTGTGTCAGAAGAACCCAGAAAAGTCACCACTACTGTAAGTGTATGATTTATACATTCTGGCATGCTATGTAGTCCTGATATTAGTGACTCACATGGAAACGTGGAAATAAGGGTTTTTCTCCCCCAGGAAGCTGGCATATACTCTGCCGAATGATCCTATCTGAGGCAGATCACCTGGGGCGTCCTCAGGAGACATAAATGCTACCCCTCCGAGGAGTCATCTTACAGTTATCTATTTTCCAAGCAAAGTTCTGAAAACATTCCTACCTCTAACCTAAGCTTGGATTGGTCATACAGTTTTTATTTATATGCCTCCACTTAATCCAACTTTAAATGAGCAGAAGGCTTGGCGCTTAAGGAGTCCTTGGAATTTATTGCAGGCTTGATTGCTATTTGGCAAGACAAAAAGAAAGACCGAAATGTGATCACACATACCGAACCGGAGACACCCCCAAATACACCCGCCACACATTATAGGTCTGTGAGGTTATTGCTTTTTTATATACACACATTTGTAAACACAGAGCAAATGGAAAGAGCCACTTGCCTGCACACAGAAGGAAAGAATGTGCCCCAAGAGCTCAAACAGCTGGTGATTCACATGTCCTGGAATAATTCGCTGAAGGAGCAGGACAGGGGATCAGCGTTTCTCTGCATATCTGATACCGAGTCAGAACTGGGTCTCCAGCTCGTGCTTTACACCTTCCTCTGTATCTATAGCTTCCGTTTTTCTGTTTCTTTTTGTACTCGATTCTCTCACTCCCTTAAAAAACTAAAATTCCAGGGGACTTATGTTATGAGTGTTCTTACTGGAAATTACTTTCTAGTACAGAACGAAAATACCGTTCTACCCGTATCTGTCAAACTTGTCAGTGTCCGTGTCTCAACGTCCAGCTGGCTTGTGGGCAGAGCAAGAGCTGTCGTATGTATCTAACCCACAAGTTTAGAGTTCTAGTAGGTCCCGGGACAGATACAGGAAGCCAACGTTCACCGACAAGCTCTGTCACATGCCACCTTTGTCCCGAGCCAGGCATCCCACTCCTCTAGAAATAATCCAACGGGCTGGAGAGGAAGTTATAGAACAGTAAGAGCCAGACCGAAGCTGAGAACCCAGGCCTGCCCGATTTCACAGTCCGCTTCTGCTGCCACCTTGCTGCACGATCTCTGCCAGCGTTCTGCGGAGCAGTGTGTATGCTTCACAGACACGTGCATTTTTTATGTTTTGCAAAGTAAATATATGCGCATAAAAATCGAAAAGAATATACAGTAAACTTCTACAGGGGAAGCCTGCCACTCCTTCCAGACTTCCAGGAGTGCTTCCATTCTCCTCCAAGGGAACCACTGCCACCAGATCCTTCTGGATTCTTCCAGAGAAAACTGTCCACATCTGTTAGCGAGTGTACATACCTGCCTACTTCTTTCTATACAGAAGCAAAAACGTCCTGTAGGCGCTTTCTCATTTAACAAGGTATTGGACACCGTTCTCCGCCAGTAAGTACAGGGTAGCTTTTAAAAAATGGTTGCCTTGGGGCGCCTGGGTGGCGCAGTCGGTTAAGCGTCCAACTT